CCGGAGCTTCACTCGGCGTGGTGTAGGCGTGAAGCCCAGCCCGCGGTGCTCTGCCATCACACCACATGAGCAGGTACCACACCCGGTGCTTGGGACTGCGTTCGCTCCGCAGTGAACCGCCATGGGCTCTGGGTCTGGTGAGGGGACTGGAGCACAAGTCTTACGAGGAACGGCTGAGGGAACTGGGGTTGTTTAGTCTAAAAAAGGGAAGTTCAGGGGCAACCTTATCGCTCTCCACAGCTACCTGAAAGGTTGTAGTGAGGTGGATGTGGGTCTCTTCTCAATAACAAGCGATAGGACAAGAGGGAACAGCCTCAAGCTGCGCCAGGGGAGGTTTAGACTGGATATTAGGAACAGTTTCTTCACCAAAAGGGTAGTCGGGCGTTGGAACAGGCTGCCCAGGGAAGTGGTGGAATCACTGTCCCTGGAAGTGTTCAAAAAATGCGTAGATGAGGCCCTCAGAGATGTGGTGTAGTGGTGGACTTGGCAGTCCTGGGTAGTTGTTGGGCTTGATAATCTTAAATGTCTTTTCCAACCTAGTTGATTCTGTGGTGGAGCAGAGGTTCTGCTGCTCTCTTAATCAGGAATGCTTTATTGAATAATAGACAAATAAGTATCAGTGGTCTAATGAAATATGTATATATATTTAGTGTGCCAGTCTTATTCCTTGCCTCCTACTGTAATGTGGAAAATACATTTTTTTTTTTTTCTTTTTTTACCCCACCTCCCCTTTGGGGTTACCTGACTAAACATGGTGCCTCTGAGTACAGGCTGACGAGCCTTCAGTGTGGTACTCTAACCATGGCTCTACCTAATGGGTGGTTTGTCAAAATGTAATGCTTGGTGTTTAAATGCATGCCTAGGTTTGCTGAAGAATCTGTAAGTACATAGAGCTGGTAATCCACTCCTGTTCTTGCCTGTTCATTAACTGTGTGGAGCTAGCATCTCAAAACACAGAGTTAGCAGTAGTACTTCGTTTGTTACCTGTGTGTACTGAGTGTTACAGAGCTTCTGCAGATTTTACCTTTAGAACTGCTGTACAGCTACTGCTGAGCCTAAACCAATTATGTTCACCCTGTCCCTCCCTGGTTTATTAGAAGCAGTTACGGCCCAAATAGCATGAGGCATAACATGTGTGTCTTGCAACTGTAACATCTCTTTTGTTTTCTTTAAAGGTGTTTTTCTGTTGTTGGGGTTTATTTTATTTGTTTTGAGCATGCTTTTATATGAATTTGTGATGCAAGAAGTTTGTTTTCAACTTCACTTGGCTCTAATCCTTTCCTGGGTTTTTGTGTTTATGTGTGTCAGGGATGATTGAGTTACACTTGAAAGGGCCTTAACACCTCTACAGTCAGTGACCTTGTGTGGGTACTGGTTTTCATTTTCATGACAGTAAACTGTGTCTTGGTGAGGCTTATCTGCCCCTGCATCAGAGGTGACTGTCTCTGGCAAAAGAGTAAGGATGGCAGGAAAAAGTTTTTCCAACTTTGTGCTCAGTGAACAAAGCAGGTTGAAGGTGGACACCTTTATTCTGACCATAGTATCCATAGGTAAACTCAGGATTCAATAGAGCTTTTGTTTTGTGCCTTTGTTTTCAGTTTGTGTTTTGTGGTTTGGGTTGTTCTGGATTTTAATTTTCTTTTTTTGCAGGAAGACAAGGGAGATGTTCTGCCTTTCTATTTCCTTTCTTTAAAAAATATAGCGCAGTTTATATATGGAAATTAGTAAAGATTTTGGCACACAATTCTTAAGTGTTAGGTTACATGGCTTACAGGGCACTTGCAAAAATCCAGAAATCAAGCTCTATAGTGAAATTTTAACATACCTCTTAATTGCTTTGGGAAAAAACAAATTACAAAACAGCTTTCTGGTACGTTCCAGAAGCATCTGTATTTAACTGTTACACTGCTAGGGCTGTCTTCGAGCAGGTTGGGCAGCTGCTAATAGCAGCTATTTTCAAGTCAATGAAAAGACTGGAATAAGTCCTGTGCGATTCCTACTCTTATAAATAACTTTCTTCTGTGTGGTTGTTGGTAGTAGACACCTGGTTGGCCATTTAAATGTCTTTTCCTATTTGGGTATTTGTTTCCTTCTCACCTACCCCGCAACTCCTCATTATGCTTTTTATAAAGCTTCATAGTGTTAAAGTGTCTGGATCTCTTCACCCTGCTAAATTAAAACTAAAAAAAAAATGTATCTAGAAATCACCAATCCCACATATGTGTGCTTAGTGAAGGTCCCAAACCAAAAGTCACAGATCTAGGTTCAGTTATGGTTTTTTACCTACTTCTAAAACTTTAGTTATGTTCCCACTTGCAGTTTGACTCATTCCTAAAAGCAAAAAAAATCTAAGCACCTACCAAGCTGTGGAAAAATACTTGGGATAACTTGCTTTCGGTGTTGTGGATGAACTTGCTATAAAGGGAACTTGATGTCAAGAAGACATCAATCTTAAGAGCTTTCTTGAAATATTCAATTGTTTTCTTTGTGGTTGGATTTATTTATTTATTATCTTTTGTCATTCTTGTTTAAAGGTGCTGTCTATGTTATCTTCTGCTTAGAAAGACAAAGAAGTTTCGCATCTTGTAAGCTGAGGGGTTTGAAATCTTGATTTTCTTTACCGGTAGATAATTGGAAATGGCTGACACTTCCATTTCAGAAGAGACTTTGCAGTTAGCCTTCCAAAAGAATCTGGTTCTGTCTAGATGTCTAGTGTATTGGCTGTTGTAAGATGACTATTCATTCATAATTACCTGTATGTAATTTTTAAAAAGCCAAATTGAGATACTGCAGAACTCCAGTACTGTGAGGCTGCTTTGGAGATGACTGAAGGAGAATTCTTGTTCCTAAAACTAAACCTGCAACCAGGAAATATATGGCAAGTGGTCATATTTGATAGAAAGTGGGTGGTAGTTACAGATGGACACATCTGCTACCTCTGAGAATGGCCATATATATTTCTTGTGCTGTTTAACTGAGTAATTATTGAAACTTTCCTCTATTCCCTATTCACTCCTATCCCCAAATATTTGAGTTTGAAAACTCTAGTCTTGATTATTCATTATAAAAATAGGAGCCTGGCTGAAAGATGAATAAACTTCTTCAAAATAATAAGAAATAAACATTAAGCTTTTTCTTTTCTACTCTTACAGTTTTAAAACTTGAAATACCCTCATGAACAGAAGAAAGTATTTCTTTCAGCAAGATGATCTGGATAACTTTACTTGTTCTTTGTTCAGAACTGAATTTTCTGACATGCCTCAGAACTTAAATTGTTATTGTTAGGTCCTCTGTAGCTTGATTGGTGCTAATTGGGTTTGTGATTGGCAGATATTTTAATAAAATATAACTAAACATGTTAGAACACAAGAACAAGGTAAGTACGCAGCTGGTTCTTATCAGCATTATTAGGTTTATTCTAGAATACCTTGAGTAAATCATGTGAAGTCTTCATTGCTGAGTGATATTGCTTGACAACCTGAAAGTGTTTAGAGGTTGGTTGGTTTGTTTTGCCTTTTAAAATTCAAAATAGAAACTATTACATCTGAGATTTATGGTGGAAGAATGAGTATTAACATAATAACATGTTAAGATATAATATAGTTAACAGTGACCAAAACCCCTCTGATTTCTTGATTATAGTATTTGGAAATTGATTTCACTATGCCATGACAGAGAAGTTTACAGTCTTTGCTGGATATAGTTGTCCCTGTGTATGTGTGCGTTTAAAAGTGAAGCATAGAGTTAATATGGAAAGATTATTTTAAAGTATTTTTTTCTTCTCTAAGGGTATGTAATGCAGTATGTAATTCTGTAGATATCTGTACATAAATTGTATTTTCTTCTTGCAGTCAAAGCTGGAGGTATGAGAGTGCCTAAAAAGCATGAATACGGACCTGTTGGGAAAAATGCTAGAGCCCCAGGAAAAGACAAGACAAGGTACTAGACTGCAGGGCTTGTTCCCCCTGCCCCATAGTTCAGAGGTAATGGGCTGAAGGTTGAAATCCAATGACAACTCTTAATCCTTGAAGAGTTTAATTTTTAAATTGTGCAATTTGTAGATAAAAGTCAACTTTGAGGTAATCATCAACTTAAAATACCCCAACCCTCCCAAAAAAAAAAACTAAACCCAACTTCAAAGCCTAAGGACAATGCCTTGCAATGAAAGATAAATGCTGAATCTCTTCTCTATTGTCATGTGTTATGGAATAGAAATTAAAACAATGTTTTGCCTACCTGTACCTAATAAAGTAATAGTCAAACAGTTTCCAGAGAAATGAGTCCTCATTCTGAAGGAAACTAAGCCCTATCTCCCACTCCCCACAAAAAGTGTTATTTCCTGTATAGCCTGTAACTCTTATTTCAATCCCAAATTGAATTTGGCTTTTTTAGTTTTCTACTTCCTGAGGTTCCTCAAGCTATTTTGTCCCAAAATGAAGGCATGCTTCTACTTTTGAGTAAGGTGGCAGTGACTGGTTGAAATGGGCATGAGAACAAATATTTTCTTACAGCTTTTTCAAACGAAGACTGTTTTTCTGAAAAATATGCTTTTTTTTCTCAAATATCCCTTAACAAAAAGTTAAGATGACCAATATATAGATAATTGCTGTGATGCTCAGAAAACAGTCAGTGTGACTCTAAGATTTTGTTCAAAGGAGCATGATGCAGCGATTTGCTCTTGGAATAAATCTGCTGTGTTCCAATAGCGATGATGTACAATGAAGCAGGGTATATATCCTCCTCCATATGATGATTAGGGTATTTGTGAGGAAAAAGAAGACCTGAACTTTGGCCTATTGTCAGCTAAAAATGGCACGTATCTTGCTGTGTCGCTTGCCTTCACCAGTGAGTTAGATGCTTCCTGTTGAAGACTTAGAAAAAAGATTCATAGGAAAAGTCTTTATAGAAAAGAGACTTGAGATTTGTGGGGATAAGACAAAATGTAATGGTTAAAGTACTGTGCTCGGGGAGCTGTATCTAAAATTCCACTTGGCACTGTAACTTGTGTGCTTTTAATACCTTTATCTGTTTTGTAAGCATTCAAAATAATTTCTAAGTTGAGACTGGAACTTGGATATCTTTCTCTAATGAGTGCCTCTGCACCTCATGTACATTATTCTTCAGCCCGTCAAAACATTAAATTTTTGCTGCTCAGTGGTGCAGCTCCTAGAGGTAAGTACAGTCTGATCTTGCAGACTTCTGAGAGCAGGAGATAAGGGGTTTAGTCCCTTTACAACAAGGACAGCCTAAAATTTGTTCTTCCCTTGGAACTGTTGAGCATTATCGTATTAGACATGAGTAGGAAACACATCTGTTGCTTTAAAAGTGACTTTGTCCTCCTGCTATGAAGAAGCAGTTGTGAGCAAATATTTTTACCCGTAGGAGTGGGTTCTGATTTCTGTCAGGATGTAGTTGCCTCTCCTGTAGTCCAAATTTGGGACTAGTTTTGTGCATAAAAATAAAGAGAAACAAAACAAGATTACATATTCTGTTGTAACTCTTTAAGAACAAAACTCCCTTCAAGGAGTCTTTATATTGTCTATATGATAGCTTGCTCTGAACTTGCTGAAGAGGCTTGTTCAAACTGAGAACTGCTCCTGAATCATGACTTTATTAAAGCACATCTGGAATTATCCCGAAAGCTGTGAATTACGCCTTACACTGCTGGGGATTTAGGGATGTCAGTTACTGCTTACCTGTAAGAAAGGAGCCACCTATACTATAGTGTTTCTGTAGTACCCAGGTAACCATTTAAAAAGCCTGGATTAGAGAGGATGGGGCTGGTTGACTTTGTTCTGAGTCCCACTTGTTTGGGGTTTTTTTCTGCACTAAGATTTAAGTTCCCTGTATTACTTCTGATACACAGATTTACTTCTACTGTTTCTGAATAGATGTTGTCAAGAAGGCTTCCTTTCTAGTCGAATGTCTATGTGTACATCGCAATCATGGTATCAGAGTGTCTGACAGGCATTACAAAGTACTGTAATCTAGTAACAGTGCTGTGAAATAGATTATTTTGCCAGGAGTTAAAAGGGAAATGTGTGACTAGACTGACAGCTGAACTCAGTTTTTGCACCAAGATATTAATTTTTTCCTCTAAAATATTCTAATCAGCTAGATAACTTTTAAATTAACTGGATTTAGCCATGCCAAGAAATGGTGTATTGACGTTATTTCTTGGCAAGCTACAGACATCAACATTGTAGGTCTTTGGATTTCTGTTTTTCTCCTCACTGGCTTGGAGGACACTAACCTAAAATAGAATTTTTTGGAATAAAGCTAAGCTGTATGCCAAAACTGACTAATGCTGACTTTCCTGTTTACTAGTTCTCTGTACCAGAATCGGTGGTTACTTAATACAGCTACGTATCTTGTTGGGATGATGGATTTCATTCTCAGGTTGCAATCACAGAAGTCATACAGAACTTTGTAAAGTAATTTGGTGCTACTAAGTAGCTACTAAAGTAGTTGAGCTTTTGATTCAGATGAGCTTTTCTGAGAGGGTCAAAGTCACCATCGTAGCTTAAAGTGGGTACTCAGAGCTGAGATTGGTCTTGGCAGGAGCTGAGCTTTTTAGGCTTAGTTTAAAAAAAAAAAAAAAAAAGGCATGCTTCCTATGAAGTTGCTGTGTAATACATGACCTAATAGAATGTAATGCATCATGTTAATAATAACTAGATGCCTGCCTGACAGTTTTCTGAAAATACATTCCATTTGGCTATACCTCATTATTTACGAGAAACCATTCACAGTTGTGTGTGTTCTTTGGTTTTTGTTGAGTTTTCTAATAACTTGGTTTGTTGTTGAGGTTTTTTTGTTTGTAGTTTGATCACCCCCCCCCCCCCCACCCCCCGAGTTAGAAGGGTTTTGTTTTCTTTGATTGCCAGTTGTCTGTAATTTTGCTCCTGTCTTTACTATAGTCATAGTTATCTGATGACATAAACGATCTTGAATAGCGCATATTTGTCAGTGTGGCAAGCTTATATCAATTGCTAAACTGAAATTTCAGTAGGAAATGTGCCTTGCCTGATACACAGAATCATTAATGTTGCTAAAGCAGTATCTGCTTTTCAGAGTCATATTTAAAGTATCTGGGTCTATGTGTAAGGGTAACAATGATTTTTCTTGACTTCATTTTCAAGATACAGGGGTGTCACTGCAAATAATCCTATCATCATCAGAATATGCAATCCACAGTTCTTCCTGTTGCTGAACTAAATTATTCCATATCCACAGATCGTTTTTTTATGGGATATTGGTAACGTGGCTGTTTGTCATCGGAGTATGAAGAAGTTAATGGGACAATCTTGCACAAAAAGTTTCTGCTTGACAAATTGCTGCTGTCAAAGGAAACACTCTCCAAAAGCAGCGGGTGATTTTTTTTCATGGGTCTAGATTGGAATCAAGAAAATGCCTAAGTCAAATTTTGCAGTTCTAGATATCAGTGCTCAGCTTCTGTGAAGCTACTCTGCAGTGCAGGAAAAAAAAAAATAATCTGCTTTGAGATATTTAAGGATATTTGTATATATAGCCTTTTGTATATCTAAATAAACACAGATTTTGCATTGGTCTATTCTGAGGCAGCGTATCTTCTTTTAATATCTTAGTCTTTAATGTGATTAAAGGATTTAGCTCCAAAACCTAAATTTCTATTACAAAATACTTTGTATTAAATCTGGAAAACAAAAGTGCCAAGTATTTCTGTGAGGTGGAAATGCTAAATACATTCTTTTTCTGCTTTACAGTGCTATTGACAATTTTTCAAAACCTCAGAACGTGGGTGTCTTGGTAGCAGAAGCCCTGAGCAAAGTAAGTATATCTGGAGAGACAAGATACATGTTTTTCAGGGCTTCTTCATAAAACTATATGGTAAAAAAAGTGAATTTTCCTTAAACTGCTGTCATCTGACACTTGTACATTTCTCATCTACCACTAAATATTCTCGAGGTGGTCTATTTCTTTAGCAGTTGTGTGGCTAAAATGCTAGATGGCTAAAATTTAACTAGCCTTTCCTCCTTACTCTGCTGTGTTTGATTCCATTCCTATTTACACTAAATAGCCCCAGGGTAGTTGTGTATACTTGTCACAGAAAATAAGGTATGTCCATTCTTTAAAGCGGTATGTTGATTTAGATTTATGGAAATGGGGAGAAGGATTACCAGTGACATAGTAAATTTGTGGCAGATCTGGGATTACAATTGAGAATGAAACCTGGTCTTCAAGTCTTTATCCCACTGTGGAAATAGCTTTAACTGCTGTAAAGGTCCAACTCACAGAAGCAAAAAGATGGCTTTGTGAAGGAGGTGGGTAGTGCCACTGCCAAGTGCTTTTTGGATACCAGGACAGCAAGTTAATGTCAAACTATTGCAAGTGATCCCCAAGACAACAGGCACAGAATATTCCACTGCTGCTGCATATGCAGCTGTTACACCTGACGTTAGATAGTCAAGCATCTTCTTGAATTCTGCCTTGGAAAGACTATGAGATCATTTAAAATTGTGTTGCAAAGCTGTTGATGGACCCTTCTAGTCATCTTTATGCCTCCAAAGATCACTGTCTGGTATGTCTTGCTAGACTGTTGATGTAGACACTTAACACCTATGTTTTGCAAGAGCTGATTTAACAAGCAGCTTCTTAATTTGCATGCTAATCTGAAGATCTGACAGTTACAATCTATTTTTCATATACTTGCAGTCTTTAGATTGTGAGGCATACAGGAGTTCCTCATCCACAGAGCTTGGTAAAACATCAGTTGCATCATTTCAGCATAAGCCTTTCATCAACAGATGTGTATATAGCTTTAGTATGTAGATCTTGAATTTTTGAATTGACTAGTTTGTTAAGGAGAACAGATACAACTTGCTGTTTCTTCTCTGCTTGTCTCCATCTCCTCTGCTCTGACCTACCATTTCCTTCTGTTGGTTTCCATAATCTCATAATGTTAAACTTCTGCAGTAATTAAGAAAGTGATAATTGGATACTGCAATGATGATGACTTGAATCTAGGAAAGTAAGAATTTGAAGCAACTTATTGTTAACTCTGGCATACTCATTATTTGCTCTGCTTTCCTGGTCTTGACAGGAAATTCTATGAACTACTATAAAAAGAGAGGGGGGAAAAATCAGTGAAAGTAGTTGGGCTGATACCACTTTAAAAACAAATGTACAAAGTCGTCCTGAGTTTATCTGTTGATTATTTGAACTTCTTGTGGAGTTAAGTTTTAAACTACTTTTATATGATAGAATTTAGGAAGAGAATAGCATAAAAGCTATATTTTATAACAACTTTTCCCCCCTGCACCCTTTAATGTTACAGGTGAACCATAAAATTAATGCAGCAGCATTACAGGTGGCTCAACAAAAACCTCAGCCTGCCTTGGAGAAGTTCATACTGCCTAAGAGAATTTACATTATTCAACAGCCACGGAAATGTTAAGATACTCATTAAAATACTGATGTTTACTTAAAGTGAGTTCTAAATAGCACTTTGCGCACTGTGGTGAAATGGTCAAAAGCTATGTGCCTTGTATCTCACTGTATTTTTGTTACTGACAATAAAATACTTTATAAGAAGAGTCACTAAATGTACTTAGGATTTATTAAAATACCATGGTGTATGTCTAATCTGGTTTTACTAGTGTACAGTAATTATACAATGCCAAGAAATCTAACAGCTTCCCTTACTGTGTGAATTTTGACTCAAGTACTAGAAACTGTCAGCCCTTTTTTTATTTTTTTATTTTAATAATAGAAAAGCTGAAGTGAACATGATCCTAAGTAAGCAGGCCACAACTGAAAGGCATGTTTCTTTTTGTTTTAATTTAGGCTGAGGTGTTCCATGCTGAATGTACGCCTTAGGCATACTGCATAATAAGAAACTTGAACAAGTCCTGGGAAAGATTCCCATGCAGTGGAAAAAATACTTTTTTCCTTGCATTTCTTTCTGTAAAGAAATCTGATTCCTTTCCTGAGATCCAAACAGTAGGAAGAACCAAGTGAAAACAATCTGGTTTTTTGAACCCTTCTGGGGCTGGAGACGATGAGTGAGGGAAGTACCTGACTTGGAGTTGAACCTCTGGGATGAGAGGACAGACATGGAGGAGGAGGAGTCAAGGTGCGGGCAGTGATTTGAGTATGGAGTTTAAAGTTGGTAGAAGGGGATATGGGCCTGAAAAGTGATGAGACTGAGCATGAACTGGTAGTAATACAAGCTTAATAATGGGGGGGAGCAATTGTGAATACAAGTTCAGGCAGTACCCTTGAGCCTTGCCTGTTTATACTGTCAGCAAAAGTCAGTAGAAATAGTCAGTCCTGCCCAGTCTAGAGGATCATACTCTCCTACTGCTAATTGTTTGGTTGGGTAGCTCAGCTGACTTCTTGCTCTGAATTTAATTCTGCTGGGACTGTTCTTTGGTTTGGTTGGGTTTTTTTTATTTATTAAGGTAGTGCTTGCAGATGAATATGCCATTAAAAATGTAGTCAAGGAGTCCAAATAGACATAATATGGAAGGTAATGCTCAAAAATGTTTATATTGTCAACGAGGCTTCTTTTTGTTGTGTGCTTTCCAGATGACTGCTGTGGAAAGCTATTACAAACATATGAAACATTCTCCCTCTTACACAGAGGGATCCCAGGTGGGTTACCCAGAATTAGTGTTACCATTTAACATGAATGTCTGCTTCGTTTCATCCATCCATAAAATGTAAATAACTTTATATGTTGATTAAAGATTAAATTATGATCACAGGAGGTGGTGATTAGTAGTATGTGCAATAAACAATTTGGTTACACCTTGAATAAGTAGGAAAGATTAAAATATTGCTGCTCTTATGAAGACTGCTGGGGTTTTTTTTCCCAGATTTCTTAACTGACTGGTAGCTACTTGTAAAATATTGTCACTGTTACTGGGATATTTAAGTTGTAGGTACATGATTTGGAAAACATCTAGTTCTGCCTTTATATATTGTGTACTTCCCACTGCCCAGGTTGACTGTATATAAATGAGTATCAATATGAATGTAAATTATTTGAGTTAAAGCTGTCCATATGTGAACTGATTTATTCATGCTATCAAGGCCAAAAATAGCACTGTGCACTGTAGTATGTCAGTGCTTCCTACAGGAAGACTATTAGTAAAATCTGTATAATTCTAATCTTTCTCCTTTTTGTTTCTGAGGGCCTTTATGAACATTACTTTCTATGAAATAATCTGCTGCTGAAAATTTATTTATATTTTGGCCAAAGGTTTAATGCAAAATGAGATCTTGCAGGAAAAGGATTGTCTCTTCCAGAGTTAGACCCAGCCTTCCCCTGGGTGCTAGATTAACTAGACACCCAATTGTTCTGACCAGCTTGTGCTTAACGCACACCTCAGTGGAGAAACCATTTGGATACCCTTTCCTGGTGCCTGGAAGAGATGAGACTTCTGGCACACTATAGAAGTGGGTAACTTGCACCCTGCTGTGGAGGGAGCTGCTTCCTGCTCTGAGGAGTTACTCAAATACTGTGGGAATAGAGATACCTGGGATCCTTATTTGTACCTTAGATCCCTAGTGTGCTTGGAAAAATTATTAGCTGTGTGCAAATTGCTTGGTGGGAATTCAACCTATTATGGCAGTGCTTCATCACTGCAGCTGTGTAAATGCATGTTGTGATGCAATGTTAACATGGCTGCAAGTAGCAGTGGATTTGACTACCCTTCTCTTAGTTCCTTATTTGTAGTTTGTTGTTTGTTTGTTTTAAATGAATGTTATTTAAACTGTTTAAAGTAGTATGTTCAGGGTAGGTATGGCATGCTCAATGTAGAAGACAGCTGTAGGAAATTACTGTTGTGACAAATCATGATGTACAGTGATTGCTTATGGATGTAATACTTCTGTTTTAAAGGGTCCCATATACCACTCTGTGCAGTGCACATTTAGTAAGTTCAGTGCTACACATATGAGTTAAGCATATACAGTACTTCAGGTTCTAGAAGTATAGTGTCTACTGTATTGGCAAACAGGAGTTATGCAGCATAGGGGTCAGTATGTGCTTCTGAGAGGCTTCTAAGAAGCAGCAGTCCTCCTGGAAAAATGAACCCATACACATTCAGTGCCTGGGATCTGCGTATGTACAGAACATACATGAAGTGATGGTATGGGAGTTCCAAACAGCCTCACAGAAAGCCTGCATTAATGTAAAGTATCTTCCATGTTGTACCTGTGTAAAATTTTCAGGAATAAAAAGAGGACCTAACAAAAAGTCAGGTCGTCAGATTTTGATAAACTGTTTCATTGTTTTATTGAATGTAAAGCAGGTGTAAGCTCCCCTTCTGCTGTAACACAGACCTTGCGGAGCAGGAAATCCTGGCTACTGATGGATTTCTTTTCCTGCCTCTGTAGGATGCTGGCCCCTGTGGTGGCAATTGCAGGTAGTATTTCATGCTTGCTTTTCATGTCAATAACACTAGTCTTTGGAGGGAATCTGGCAGATTTGTGTAGAGAACAAACTACCTCTTCTGCTTAAATACGTTTTATAATTGAGAATATCCTGTAATTAGGAGCATTCCCTTTTCAACCAAGACTGGTTTTTACTCACCTGTTGTATTTTGACAGCAGCACTATTAAATGCATTATTTTCTCTAATTTACTTAAGGTGTCCTGCTTATACTACTATTCTTAATAACAAAAGCTAAACAGGAAACTAAAACTGTATTTTGAACTTCTAGTAAGACAACTTAGGTTTTCATCCTGTTTGTGCCTTCAACACTGTAATTTTAGTCTGTGATTGCACCATCATTGATGATACTATGATGAATCAGTTGTCTTATGTTTTAGGAAGCTTGTTTTATTTAGTTTAATTCTGAATTCAGTACTTTGCCTTTGTTATTTAAATATGAACTACAGCTAAATATGGAACAAGCACAGCTGGTTTGCTAGAAAAATCAAAACCTTGTAGGAAGCCTGTTTTCAGGCTTCTTGAGGGTTATTACAAATGATGCAGGCATTCTACAAAAGTGGCATGGTTTCAGGAAATTATTTCTTCTGTTGATCATTATTTCATCATTTTGATGGACATAATGGGGGTTAATATGCAGTTGTTTTTACTAGTAGACCTACAGACACCTTACAGAGATAAGAATGACTGAAGCCAAGTGGCAGTAATAGCAGTGAAAACTGATTTCAATAAATGTTGATAGGTTCAATGTACTGAGAAACTTGGTAATGTCATGCAATCTTTTGATGGCCTGAGTAAGACATGAAAGCCTTGCTGTACTTCTCTGCAGGGATGGATTTTTCTCTTGGGTGAGGCAAATCTCTACCTTTAAGACCCTGACACTCAGGGTGGGTAGTGCTTCACAGAGCTATGTGGAAATTGACAGTGTGCAACTTTAAACTGGTTTATACTGAACTACAGTATACGTTAAGTGTACAGCTGAAGTCTGGATTGAGAGTATGTGATTTCTGACCCTTGAGTGAAACTGCAGCAGATGAATGGCAAAGAAATTACACATGGCAAATCTGGGAATTTACAATAAAAGAGAACTATAACAAAAGACTTAATTTTAATAAATACCTATTAACCTTTATTTAAAGCATCTATCTCCTTCAACCTGTACTTGTTCAGCCTGTTCCTCTCTAAGTAGTATGCACAAATCTGCTAATCCTCTCGAGGACAGTAACCTCCACCTGGTACGCAAACTCCAGAAGTTCTGGTAACTGGTACACACATAAGCCCAAGCACTTACTGAGTCCTTGTTCAGTTCCAGTGGTAGAAGAGTGTATTTCTAGAACGTAAAAAAATAAAAATTGCTTGGTCTAGTTGAGGTCATCTGCAGTATTCATGTAGAGATTATTCCTGTTGTAACTCCCACAACAGGTCCACAGTAAAGCACCTCTTGGTTTTGAAAACCTCACTGTCCAAGAGGACCATTGTTTCAACATGCTGCCATCCCTCCTATCCCCTCCTGCATCTTCTAGACTCAGCTCCTACTTAGTGTGAGCAAGACAGATACTTGCCGCTGATCGGTTTAGCTGCAGAAATATGCACTTCATGCTTCTGGACCACTTGCGAGTTAGATCTTTCTAAAGAGGGTAGGTGTGGGATTCAGTGCAGATATCGGGGTTCCATTTGTTCTGGCTTCTAGGCCTTATAGTACTGTCTGACTGTTTCTTGTCTTCCCCACTGTTGGCTGACAGACTCATGCTGTGCCAGTATTCTGCAGAACACATTACTGAATCAGATGTGTACTCTGTTTTCAGTCTTGCTCAGCTACTGTAAACTTTAAAAGCACTTAGAATTCCCTGGTGAAACCAGTTATAGTTTTCCCTTTATTCAGCAAAACCATAAAGAGAACAACAATCCAATGTAACAGCATATTTATTATTTTTGTCAAACCTGGCCATGGATTCTACTCCTCATCATTATTCCACTCTTGCTGAATTTTACTTAAA